GTCTATCTATCTATCTCTCTGTTTGTCTGTCTCCTTGTCTATCTCTCTGCTAATCTATCATTTACCTCTCTATTTGTTGATATATCTGTTTGTCTGTCAGTCTGTCTCTTTTATCTCCATCTCTAACTCCCCATATATCTACCTATCTATCTGTCTGTCTTTCTGTCTATTCATACATCTATCTGTCAATGTACCTATCTATTTATCGATTTATCTATCTATCTATCTATCTATCTATCTATCTATCTATCTGTCTATCTATCTATCTCTACATACATATACACATACATACATACGAACATACATACTTACATTTACAGATGTGTGTGTGTGTATTTCTCTTCCATAATTTTTATATCTTTCTTTTCACATTTATCTTCCTGATGTTCGGTACAAGTTTACAAATGGATTTTAGTGATGCATTTAATTTGAATCTAAGGAAAATAAGCCAAACTATTCGTGGTTTACTTTGCCTCGGTCTGTCTCTCTGTGCGTTATTTTCTCCTTTTGTCTTTCTCCTCGCCCTCTCCTCTCTCTTCCTCCTCTCTCTCTTTCTCTTTCTCTCTCTCTCTCTCTTTCCCTTTCTCTCTCTCTCTCTCTCTCTCTCTCTCTCTCTCTCTCTCTCTCTCTCTCTCTCTCTCTCTCTCTCTCTCTCTCTCTCTCTCTCTCTCTCTCTTTGTTTTTTTTCTTCTCCTCTCCCCCCTTTTTCTTTGTCTCTCCCTCTATCTCTCTCTCTTCCTCCTCTCTCTCTTTTTCTTTCTCTCTCTCTCTCTCTCTCTCTCTCTCTCTCTCTCTCTCTCTCTCTCTCTCTCTCTCTCTCTCTCTCTCTCTCTCTCCCTCTCTCTCTCTCTCTCTCTCTCTCTCTCTCTCATTCTCTCTCACTCTCACGGTGTCCAAGGTTGAGTGTTTGCTATGATTCGCACCCATTTTGTATTCACCTACACTTCTATTTATTGTTATCATCATTATTATTTTGTTCATTCATCTTCCCCTTCGTTATTTATGTTGTTTTTTTTCTACTCTTTCTTCCTCCCCACGTCGACTTGGGTGGTATTGGACTCTCCCGGAGTTTGGGCCTGAGGAGAAAACGGGGCATCGAGCACGGGCATTCAGTCCTATGAAGGGTTGATCCTTTGCATAGGAATCGTGGATCATTGGAAACCCCAGCTCCAGTTTCTCCACGTGTTCTCCCAGGAAGAAATCAGAGTATTTTTTTGTTGTGTGGATACTCTGCTTTCTCTTGATACTCGTTGATGTGAAGTCTGAGTTTCTTTGCTTTGTTCTGATTCGTCGTTTTCATTTCTGTCGGTTGTTTATTACCTGTTTTATTTTATTGCTGTTTTATATGCGATAATAGATATGAGAGAGAGAGAGAGAGAGAGAGAGAGAGAGAGAGAGAGAGAGAGAGAGAGAGAGAGAGAGAGAGAGAGAGAGAGAGAGAGAGAGAGAGAGAGAGAGAGAGAGGAGAGAGAGAGAGAGAGGTATGTAAACTTTATATTATTACTCCCCTCTCTCCCCCCAAAAAAACGTATAACATATAAGTACACTTTTAGAATTACCTACAATATTTACATGTATAATTTGTAACAAACCGTGACCCGTTTTGTTGTAAACTTGCTAAAGTCGTGTCTGAAATAGGAAATGCATGGCAGTTCATCAATAAAGTATTATATGTAACTGTTATAAGGCATTTTTTTTTGTAAATATAGTTTCATACACAGTAAGTATTATGATCGTAACTTCTGATATCTTTCGTGATGATAACGACTGAACAAAAACGAAATCTTTGGACCGTAATAAAATATTCCTCCAAACTTTTCGTGTTCTGTTTTTTTTTCCCTCTCTCATTGCTCTTTTCTTTTCTTTTTTCTCTTTTTTTTTCTTTCTGTCCACTTCACGCACCTGAAAGTTCTGATTCTTTTCGACAAACGGGGACGCTGGTATTTGAGCGCCACAGATCACTGGTTAATTGCGCTCCCTTTAGCAAGAAAAAAGGGTGATCTCCTCTGTATCAAGGGTACGTTCGTTTTAAATCATACGGGAGTTGCTTTTTGCTCTCTCTTGTACTTAACGCTCTCTTTCTGTAGTCTTGACACCCTTTTTTCTTTTTTTTTTCTTTTTTTTTTTGGGGGGGGGGAGGTGAGAGGATTGTCAATAGGGTGAAACAAATTCGAAGGCAGGGTCGTCGCTTTCACCGTTTCGGCATACGGAAAGTCCACTCGATTTGGAAGCTCGAAATAAAACAAAAAAAAAACATTTTTTGAGACACTGAAGGACTTTGAGTTTTTTTTTCAAAGGGCAGGAGATATATATAGGGGGAGGAGTTACAAGCTACGGTGGCGAAGTTGGTCCTAAATGCCCGTTCATTTATCAGGTAAGGAATGTAAATACATCATTAGCCTCTCAGCGTGTTATAAGTCAGTGCCTGCTCCCTGGTAATTAAATCCAAGCGTGCCATTAACCACCAACGGTCACCTTTTTTTCTAGGCCACTTTCTCCTAAGAAACTTGCATATCGGATCGAACGCTTTGATCAATACCCAAGAAAGATTTTTTAAGGAGTCGCAGCAGCCAAACTGGTCCCCTCCCCCAGCCTTTCCCCTTGTCCCCTGGCCCATGCCTTCCCCTCCCCTGCTCGCCCCCCTGCCTCTCCCTCTACCACTACCCCTCCCCTTACCTCACCCCCTTATCCCTTCCCCACTGACTCTCCTCCTACCCCTTTCCCTCCCCTCTACTCTGTCCCTCCCCCTGCCGCGGCCCATCTCCCCTACCCCCTTCCCCTCTATCTCTCCCCCTCCCCTTTCCGCCCCCTGCCCCTCCCAACCCCCAGCCCAACCCCACCTTTTAATGCCCCGTGGTTGAATGCTCTTTTTGTGACACCCGGTTGTTGTGGTGATTTAGAGACGGTGGATTGCATGCATGAACAAGTGCACAGGGCATTGTGCACGCGTCGTTCTCTACACGATATTATCTTGACACTCCCCGAGGCTGTGCGAGGTGCCATGTTGTATGGCTGACGATCGGTGTATGGCCGCAGGAATGTCTCGATTCCTCGTCCATTTAAGGAGAAAGGTTAGAAATACATCTTCATGAGGGAGAGAATGATAACCAGATCATACACAGTATTAGATAGTTGATTCCTGTATTAAGGAAGAATTATGCGGTGAATTTTTGCGTCGGGTATTGAAAAATCGAGCAAGGGTACAAGTTATCAATTAATAATGCCACCCTGCCAGATCCATATCTTGTTAACTTGCGAATTCAGCGAGCTTAAAATATCAAACGTTAAACCCTTTGCCGTCATAGTAGGGTTCACTGCAGGGTGGTCAGTGCAGGGGAGTGATTGCCTTTTGTCAGATGACTTAGTGATAAGTGCATTATCTTAGCTGTTATAACATGAGGGAAGAGAAGGGAAGCAGTTCTGCATTTAGTGTAACGCGCCTGAGAGCAGTTTGGTTTCAACCGGGAGTCCATTTTCAATTTTTGTTGCAAGGGAAATCGTAACTTACTCCCTTCTATTGCGTATTGGCCGCATCGGGCATAATGAATCAGAAATAAATTTACAGACGATGTTTATTTTTATTCATTGTTATCTATTTCTATAATGAAGAGAATATTAACGCACTTGGTAATATAGCGTAATAT